TTTTTGCTTTTTTTTTTTTTTTTTTTTTGTCAAAACAAATGCTTCACTTTTAATAGCCAAGTAATTTGTGCTGCAACGAAGAAATGATGAAGTAAGCAAAAGCGACTTTTGCTCATATATTTTAGCGCTATTTACTCGGCTAAAATCAAATGAAAATTTTTCCATCTTTGATCGAATAGGAAAAGAAAAAAAAAAAAAAAAAAGAAAAAATAACAACAATAATAACAACTTCAGAAAACTGGCTCGGAAAAAATTACCCGAAACATCTGTTGTGTGCCTTTATGCTTTCATTTTTATTCCAAATTTAAAATCAATTTTTAAAAATTTTTTTTCCAATTGAAATTCACAATTCAAAAATAAAAAGAATTCATTTAATATAACATGAATGAATTTATTTATTATTAAATATCGTTTTAATTACTTCCGTTATAACAAATAATAAATGATATTCAATTAAAATCATTTTCAAAAAAGGAAAAATAAGGAAAAAAAGCACGATGTTACTATTAGGAATAATTTTTATTGTTTTTTTTTGTTAAACTTTATTCAAATTATTTCTAATTTATAATTTTAAATTAATTCAATAAAAATGAAAGAAAGGAGGGGAAAAAAAAGGATACGAAAGAAAAAGTCAATCCAAAAATAATCAATTAGCAATAAGTTAACAATTTACGAAAGATTTAAAATAATTTAAATAATAATTTAATTAAATTTCACATACATTCATCCTTTTCGATTTATCATTAACAGGAACTGAGCAAGAAGGATTCATATGTTTGTTATTTTACACTTCATTACAATTTCATTTATATATATCATGAAATTTCAACGGTTTCCCTTTTAGAGTTACATTGCAACTGCAAATTAACTATTTTATTTACTTGAAGAAATTCAATTAAAAATAAAACAGTTAAATTTTTTAGCATTTTAACAATTTCAATCGAATGAATAAAATGAGTTTAAGAAAAAGATTTTGATAAAAAAATGCTTAACGTTTATCTTGAAGTGTTCAAGTTTATAATACTTAAACAATTCATGCGAATAATTTCAATAATACAAAAACAAAAATACATTTTGCAATTTTAATGACAATTGTTTGATGTACAATTGAATAAAAAAAAAGAAAAACAAAAACGAGAAGAATATGACAAAGATATGTCATTTCATATTGTATATCAGTTGGCATAACTTTATTAAACTTAAAAAGTGACATCTTTTTGTTGAAATGGCAAAATGTTTGCGCAATATGAAAATATCAACTCTACATTTGTTATCATTTTAACTAGCATTAATAACAATAATTAATTAATCAATATTAGTATAATGTATAATATATTAATTAAATTAATGAATGGAAGGAAAAAAAATCTCTCTCTTCTTTTTTTCAAAAAAACAAAAAACAAAACAAAAAACAAAAAACGAACAACAACAAAAAATTACCAAGATTTTTTTTTCTTTCCAATGAAAATATTGCACTCATTGATAATAATTAAACGATTAGTTAAAATTATTTCAAAAAAAAAAAAGAAAACATTTTTTTTCTTTTTTTTCACAAATAACCTTGTAACAAGCGAAAAAAGAAATAATCTTTTATGAAAATTCATTATCTATGAATCATTTTTTATTTTATTTTAAAATCTTCAATATCTTTTGTTTTTTCTTTTTTTTCCTCTCTGCAAAAAAAATTTTTGCTTTTTCTTAAAAAAAAAAAGAAAGAAAAGAAAACAAAATTCTTAAAAAAATTTTTCCTTTTTTTTCTCTTTTTCTTTTGACGAATTTATATTTTTGAAAAATTTATTTCCTAAATTAAAGACTTTTCGGTCGTTTTGTTTCTATTTTTATTTTATTTTTATTTATTTATTTATTTATTTTTTTTTTTGCATCCAAATGCAAATGAATTGGCTTTCTTAATGGCAAGCATTTTTTTTTTTTTTACCTTATTGGCTTCATTTTGCTTCACAGAATTGCTTAATATGAGAAAAATCTTGAAATTACTTGAAAGTTTATTCCCTTCCTTGTTCTTCACTTTGCTTTTCTTTTTTTTTTTGGTTAATAGCATGAATTTTTTGATTTATAAAATGAAATTTCACATTCACAGTATAATTTAATTAAACTGACTGAAATTTAAATTAGAAAATAATTTAAATTAACAATATAATATGTAGCTAGGGCATAATTTAATTAAATTTACTGAAGTGTCATTTTGGAATAGAATCGGAATTAATAACAGGATGAAATTCCTGTTAATGAAATCTTTTAAATATAATTTTCATTAATTTTCTTTTCTTGAAAAATCTTTTTAACATAAATTTTTTTCTTTGTTTTGCTATTCATTGAAGAGTGCCCTATTGAATGTAATTAAACTAAAATATTAGCTAAAAAAAAAAAATGCTATGTTTGTAAACAACATTACCAATAAATCGTCATAATGAAATAGTAATAAGTAAATAAAGAAAAACAAAGAACAAAGAAATTTAATTTTGACTGTAAAAAAAAAAAGAAAGTGATTGAAATTCTAAGAAAAAGTTAATGGAATTTTGCAAAATAAACTCAATTTGAATATATTAAAATTTTGCACAATTTCTAAAAAAAAAAAAA